TACAGTGTGCAAAAGGGGGAAAAATATATGTTCCAAACAAATATTTTTTTTAACAACTGTGGGTGTGTCGTTGATGTTGATGTTGATGTCGTGATAATTTTTGATATTACGAGTATGAGAACTGTTGTTTTGGTTTTGTACAAGACAGCCAGCCGACCCAATAGTTTTAGTAGTATTGATAGAAGCGACATGTAAATATTACTAAAAATTTGTAAATAAACAAGATGCGCATCATTCAATCACCATAGGTACACATACACACACAGTACTGTGCGAGACAGCATGATTGCCTCTCACTCATACAGTGCTCCTTGATAGACACACTATCGCGCTAACCTAGCGCTAAGTGCGAGCAAGCACAGCTTACGAATGTCGGGCCTACCATAGCTCGCTCTCTTTTCACAGACGCATTGTGCACAGACCGGCCCCAACCTCGCAGCTATCTACTCTATACGCCTTAGGCGTAGACATACACACAGAGAGTACGGAACTACGGATCTATGCAGCCTACAGATCTCCAACAGGTGTGTTTGTCGTGAAAGAGCTCCGCGAGCTTCTCCGCCCTTTACCCACTATCTTAGCCGGAGACTTGAACGCGAAGCACACCGCCTGGAACTCCAACACCATTAACCCAGCTGGCCGCAAACTTCACCAAGATGCAATAACGAATGACTACCTAGTGATGGGCCCAGACTAACCCACTCGTTACGACGCTAACGGAAATGGCGACATATTAGACGTCGTAATAGCGAGAGGCATTACAGATGGCATTTCGCAGGAAGTCAAGGCAGATCTACCCTCTGACCATCGACCAGTGTTGGTAACAATAGATAGACTGCCCACAAACACCAACATTACCACCCCGATCCGACGCATTGACTGGGAAAGTTTCCGCACAACAGCGGCCAAACTTACACACTCGCGCCCCATTACCACGGCATTTGAAGTCGACGAAGCAGCCAAAGAGATAACCGCAGCCCTCCAGACCGCATTACATACAGCTTCCCACACCCGCTCCAAAGGTAAGAGTACCCAAACTTTACCTAACCGAGTGCTGGCCCTAATTGAGGAGAAACGCGGCCTGCGGAGACTGTGGCAGAACTCTAGATGCCCCACTACAATAACCCTCCTCAACGACGTCACAAAGCGCATCAAACGCGCACTAGAGGAGTACGCTGCGACATCATGGGAAAATCACCTGCTTGCAGTAGGCGATGAAATGCCCTCCGTCCACCGCCTCTGCAAGCAGTTAAGTAGTACCAAACCAGCCACTAGACCACTCATAGACGCAAACGGTGAGCCACACTACACACCCGCGGATAGAGCAGAAATTTTTGCCGACCACTTACAACATCAGTTTACGCCGAATCCCACGCTGGACGTCGAGCACGCTCTGACTGTAAAGTCGGACGTGATTAGACGTTTAGCGGAACAACACGCTGCAACCGACCACCCGATTATACTAACGCCCACGCAGGTCCGGAGAGAGCTCAACAGGTGCAAACCAAAGAAAGCCCCGGGCCTAGATAAAATCTCAAACGCCGCACTAAGACACTTACCTTTCAAAACAGTAGCCGCCATAGCCCGGCTCTACAATGGCATACTTCGCGCCGGCCATTTTCCGACACAATGGAAAATTGGCAGTTATAATGCTGCACAAGCCGGGCAAGAGCCCATACAAACCCGAGAGCTACCGCCCCATCAGTTTGCTGCCTACATTGTCCAAAGTATTCGAAAAATTACTGTTACCTCATTTATTACCCCACATCGAACCGCGCCCCGAGCAATTTGGTTTCCGCCAAGGGCATTCAACTACACTACAACTTGCCCGGGTACTACATTTACTAGCTTCTAATATTAATAAAAAAGAATATTCCGCAGTGATCATGTTAGACATGGAAAAGGCGTTCGACAGGCTGTGGCACGAGGGCCTGCTGCACAAACTGTCGTCGTCTAACACACCGCTCCGCCTACTTAATTGCCACTTTCTTGAAAGACAGAAGTTTCACCGTCGCAGTGGAGGGACGCCTGTCATCCCCCCGCCCAATCCTCGCCGGAGTGCCCCAAGGGAGCTGCCTGTCTCCAGCCCTCTACGCAGCCTTTACAAATGACATCCCAGCAGAAAGCGGCGTCAAACTCGCACTTTACGCAGATGACACCGCCTACATAGCATCCTCCATTCGGCCAAATCACGCGGTAACTAAATTACAGCCCACCCTAGATTCCTTAACAAAGTGGCTTGACAAATGGCGCATGTCAAAAAACTTAGGGAAGACTCAGGCCATGATGGTAGGTCTGCAAAAAGACACACCACCACCCCTCAAGATCCGCGACGAAATCATCCCCTGGTGCTCCACAGCCAAATACCTAGGTGTGACCATTGACCAGCGGCTGAAAATGACACAACAGGTGACAGAGGTCGTGACAAAAACCAAAGCCGCAAGAGCCCGCCTGCAGCCCGTACTGAACAGCAGCCTTCCCATCAAAACCAGAATAGGTATCTACAAAACGTACATACGCCCTATAATCACTTACGCAGCCCCCGCTTGGTTCGCCCTAGTACCTGAGTCGCAGAAAAAGCGGCTACGAATACAACAAAACCAAATTTTCCGCAAAATAGTGAAAGCTCCACGCTACGTCAGAAATGCCACGATCTATAGAGACCTAAAGATAGAAACCATTGACGCTGTAATAGAAGACCTAACACGCAACACGTTCACGCGCGCCGATTATTATTATTATTATAGAGCTCTGCCTAGAGAAGCTATGAAGCCACCTGACTAAAAACGGCCCCGCCCCAAAAGGGCGGGCCTCACCTACTAGACTTTCAAGACACACCCCCAACGGACATGACACCGACCAAAGCCACGCCCACTGATTTCCATCTACCCTCCACAAACACGATGACCACATGCTACCCACAACGGACAACGCTACTCTCCTCGCCTACAGTAAGTCCGCCGCCTGCTCGCAGGTCGTTCACCGGGCCTCCCCCAAGGGTCTCACCCGGTGGGCTGGACCGCGCTGAGGGCGGTGTGTGAAGCTGTATGGCGGGAGAGTTTGACCCCAACGACCGTCTTATTAGGAAAATAAGATGCGACCCCGCTACCATGGAAATAGCGCGCCTTTGACGCGCGAGAAGACGACAAGCAGTCGCTCTCTTTTCTTTACAGACTACATCAAGCGCACTGAAAAAGTAAAGGGATATTTGTTTCTTAGGTTTTCACGCACATCACTCATTAAATAATAGTTTTAACGGGTTAATGCACGAATTTTATTTATTTATTGACGTTTCGCAGCCTTTTCAGGTCTGCATCGTCAGAATAATGTTTTTTATTTACTTTGTCGAGCTACCTTCGAAAGACTTATATTGAGCGTTCTGATATTTCATTGGAAAATTTTTAAAACAAACTCAAAGGAGATAGAAAGCCTCTCTGAGATTGTTTCGCCGGTTCTTCTCAGAATGGTCTCCCAATTTTGGAACCGGTGGTAGTTTACGGTAGTTAGGGTCAAATAAATAAACTCAAAATTACAAAAAAGAATTTTAAATAAAGTATTTTATTAACTAAATTAACTAATAAATTCATACATAGACAATAAAGTTTTAGAAATCTTCCGAAATATCCGAACGCTCAATAATAATCTTCCGAAGGTAGCTCGACAAAGTAAATAAAAAATCATTATTCTGACGATGCAGACCTGAAAAGGCTGCGTAAAGTCAAAAAATAAATAAAGTTCGTGCATTAACCCGTTAAATTAGTTTTATTTAAGGTAAAGGGATCTTTATTCAGAAAGCTACCAGCCCCATAGTCACCGAGCAATTACTCGGCGGTTTATAGAAGAGCGCCACAGGGTTTTTGGGTTGTTGAATTTCATGGCTGGTTTTTGTTGAGTTACGCTATGGTTACATGGAGACATCAAAAACGCTGCATATTTTTGCACACGGTAATAAAGGTGGTCAAAAGCAGAAATGCTCGATACAAGAACTAGGCCTTACAAGAAGTAGTCGAATCCAGAAGAGGTCATAACTAGAAAAAGAACAATGAAGAACTAGTCTTTATAAAACAAATCGCTCCAGTTAACAAACAAAAAATAATGTCAGCTGTCTATGCAGTGACGGATGGTTTATTATAAGTATTTACATACATACATACCCTCTGAATGGCATAGTATCAAGGGCGCTTTAGCATTTTATAACATGATCACCTAAAGATGAGATTATACATCAGTGTAAATATAAAATGTCACATCTAGCATTGGTCGGTTCAAGTTGCTATTTATAAAGTGACATCATCACGCCTTGAACGTTAGTATTTAAACGAGATTACGAACTCGTACGTTAATAAAACGAGCCCGGTGATAGGTGTTGGCAGTATCCCTGTTTTCCTTTCCCTTCAGAGAATTCATTTTAAGTTTGACCCAAGTTGACCTTAGATTAAATCAAAAATGGTAGATACAGTACGCTCTTACAATGGAGCAAATACAAAGATGTATGCAATATCGCAGAGCTTTGACCAATGTTGCCTGACAATAGTTCTAGCCACTCAGCGCAAGAGACGCTGATATCATTTCGACTCCATTTTTAATAGCGTAAACAAGTTTTAAAAAAGAAATGATAAAAAAAAATGCAGCATAAAAATTAATTGCATAATCTAATATATAAAATTCTCGTGTCACGGTGTGCGTAATTGAATTTTATATGCATATTCAGTAGGTCTGAGAATCGGAAAACATCTATTTTTCATCCCCCTAAATGTTAAGTGTGGTCCACCCTTAAATATTGTTTTTTGGCATTTTTTTTATTTCATTATAAATATAAATAAATAAATATTTCCAACACTCACACCAATTAGCCTAGCCCCAAAGTAAGCACTGTAAAGGCTTGTGTTATGGGATACTAGGGTAACGGATAGAATACATATATTGTACATATATAAGTATCTTTATATATATAATTCTTCTGTGAGTGTGTATGTCACTGAACTTCTCTTAAACGACTGGACCGATTTTGATGAAATTTTTTGTGTGTGTTCAAGGGGATCTGAGAATGGTTTAGATTCACAATTTTGTCCGCTGGACAACCCCTATTTTTTTAGGGCGGTACAAAGTTCGCTGGGTCAGCTAGTATTTATATGAAATACATATTAAACATCCATGACTGGAGTACAAATGCTCGTATTCATCACACAAACATCTGCCCCCACTGGGATTCGAACCCGGGACCTCTCGAGTCGGCGACGCCATGAAACCCGGCGTATAAACCACTCGGCCACGGAGGTCGTCAATTATGATACATCATACAAAAATACATACAACACTAAATATTTACCCTTCTACCACCAACCCCTATTTTTTTTACGGTGGTACGTAGTTCGCTGGGACAGCTAGTCTAATATATAAAATTTTCGTGACACGGTGTGTGGAATTGAACTACTCCGAAACGACTCGACCGATTTTCGTGAAATTTTATATGCATATTCAGTAGGTCTGAGAATCGGGCAACGTCTTTTTTTCATCCTCCTAAATGTTAAGGGTGGTCTACCCTTATTTTATTTGACATTTTCTTTTGTTTTTATTTTTTTATGATACATACAAAAATACATACAACACTAAATTTTCACCCATCTACCACCAACCCCTATTTTTTATGGCGGTACGAAGTTCGCTGAGACAGCTAGTGAGAATAGTACAGTCAATCTGTCGAAAAAAATATCGTTTCAGTGAAAAAAAAAACCTAAAGGGTAAGTCTTGTTTTTTCTGTTGCCAAATGACGTCAGTAAGCCACCTTGGCGATGGGCATGTTCAACTCGTAGGCGTTTTTTTAAAAACTCAAAAAAACTGTCAAAAATTTTTTGAAACGCATTTTTCTTGTTTTTATAACTTGAAAACGGTAAGTAATACAAAAAAATTGTTTATACAAAAGTTGTTGGTAATTATGTACGATACAACTTTGCCATTTAAAGTTTTCCATTAAAATGATATTTTCAGGGTGAAAAAGTGAAAAAACACTTTTTTGAGACTTTAGCGCCACCTACAATGCGCATTTTTTGTTGTACGAGATTGCAACAATGACATAAATTGTAGCACTCAACGCCCTCTACAATTATGGTCGAAAAAAAAGTTTCTAAAATGCATACAAAACAAGAATAATGCGTTTCAAAAAAATTTTGACGGTTTTTTTGAGTTTTTCAAAAAACGCCTACGAGTTGAACATGCCCATCGCCAAGGTGGCTTACTGACGTCATTTGGCAACAGAAAAAACATAACTTACCCTTTAGGTTTTTTTTTCACCACTCAACCTACAGATTGACTGTACTAGAAGATATAATTCTTTTTCATGTATAAGTTTAATCTACTGTCTCACTTAAACGTGTTTGACTGCGCTTTGGTTAGATGTGTTAGAACAGTACCGATATAGCCAAAGAGTTTCTATTTTAGCATTCCTATGTAAATTATTATTCTATGGTTTCAATTCAACTCAGCGCGAGAGAGTCTGCGAGTCTGCATCGCTTGGTAACCGACTGCGTTTTCTTTTCTCTCTCTAAAAACCGTTGATTTGTATCGTCGTCCTTTTCTTGATAACAAATGGCAAATATATGGAAATTGCATTCATGACATACCTAGATTTTTGAGAAAAAATGTTTTTATAGTTTTACGAATAAAACGTGTTGCCGTGGAATAGCTTACTTGTTCTTGAAGTATTTGTGCAGTTTTTAATAAACATTGAAGGCATTTTTATATATTTTTTATACATAACATCCGCAATATTGTTTTATTGAGTGCTAAATTAAGCGCCGCACTTTTGAGGCTCGTGTGCCTTTCTGATTTAATCTAAGGCCATAACAATAGAATGTGACAACATGTGACTTAATTAAGCATTAACTTAATTTGACTTTTCTGAGTACGGCTGTTAGAGCCTACGTTAAACGGGAACACGGAGCGCAGTTTTTATGTGATTTCATAGATACGATATAATATGAAACAAACACGCCGAGCGGTCGACCGCACCGTGCTCTTGCCTAAAACAGCGCCGGCTCTTAAAAACTCCCACTGACAAGCTTCCTTTGGCTCGTTTTTCCGCTATGTCTATCATTTCTAATCTACATCCGAATTTATGCTAGGGCAAGCTAGCATACATTAAATATATCTAAGGTCAATATGGCAACAATATTAGTAGCTAACTTACTACAATCGACCAATATGGTAATTAGGATAATGTCTAATAATGACTAGCTAGCGAGTTCCACATACTTTAATAGTTTCCCAAATAAAACAACTAGCTGTACCACCTAACTGTAAGCACATTCACATGCACTAGCTATAACTTAACTATTAAAAAAATAATACTTGTGCGTTGAAAATTTTTAAAATAATAATGTTCGCAAACAAATGTTGTCATGTCGATACCCATATGAATACATACAATCAGTGGTAAGGTAAGCGCATTTTATTAGCAGGCACATGTGATTTAATAATACATAATCAGATCGTTGATACTTTTTCTGTTCACATTCAATCACATTTTCCTTTGATCAATACTAAAATAAACAAATTTTATTATTAAAAAAAATACAATTAGGTAAAAATAAATCAGTAAATATTTTTCATTTGGTAAATCTTGATACCTATAGGTAATTTAAAATTAAAAACATAAAATAAGATATCTTAAGAAACAATATTGTTTTTTTTTATTAGCCTTATCATTTTATATTATGCACATTATATTCCTCAAAGATTTTATATACAAACAATCGAAACAGTATTTCTCGTCTTTTCGAAACACACTAAAGTGAATTGCTTTTGTGCATGCATATTTATAACGTATAAGTACGTATCGTTGTAAAAATCGATTTGTTAGAAAACATTGAATTGAGAGTAGTATCATATCAATCAACTACCCTTAGTAGCACATTGCGATGATGAGCAATACTTACATAATGATTTGCGTCTGAAGTTTGCCACGAACATGTTGAGCTACGTTTTGATCTTGCGACTGCCTTTGTAGTGGCCGTTTCTCTTCCAGCCATTGTTGGCTTGTGACGCCTCCCCGTTCATGCCGCGCGTAAGGAACGACGTCGTTTGCCCTTTGGACTCGAACAGTATGTCCGACTCCGTTTCAGATTCTGATACGTCCTTATTTGCAACTGAAAGAGAAATAGGTGTAATAACGATTGACGTTGGTTCGATTTCAGCAAGTCTGATTATTGTACCTAGATGAATTTGTTCTACTAATTATTTAAAATAAATTATCAATCTAATATGAATCTTTGTGTCCTATCTTTTGATATCACTTCGTGGCGAGAGTATTATTCCATTAGGCAAAAGCCGTGCAAGTTCCACGCATGGACCACAAGTGCTCCGCTTATTCCGAGATGTTGAAAAACCAATCGATATAGACCAAAAGGTACATTGGACGATCCACGGAGCTCTGTAAGATGATCGTGTAGTCAAAAACATTATAAGGCATTATTTAAACATTGAAAGTCACTTTTAATCCCTACTGTAGGTATAAGGGTTTAATTAAAACGCATGCGTCAGAGTTACGACAGTTCTAAATGCAAGCTCGTAAAATTTTACGATTTATTGCTATATGCCAAAGAATATATACAAAAACGTTGTCGGCCATTTTAGTCTATAGATTATCTATGCTATGACTTCAACCGGTAGTAAACAAAAACTCGTAAGCGCGTAGAAAATAACCTGAGTTTATAATAATAAAAAAACATGATTTCTAATAAATACCACGAAATATAGTAATTATCATTATTGTATTGTACGAGAATGTAAAAACACGTCCTTGAAGACTCCAGGAAAGTTGTGGATTAAAGTGCCGAAAGAAATTAACGTAATACCTCGTTAGAACTTGATAAAAAGGATCCTGCAACTTTATTGACTCATAGAAAAATATTTTTGCGAAGATCACTTTGATGTAAGTACTCATTGAATAATATTTTAAATATCTACATTTATTATCAGTTTTAATAATATAACTTGGAAGGTTATATATGAATGACATATAGTGGTTTACTACCAAAAACGTCACAATCATGGCGGATGTGGTGAACAGCGTTTTTAATGTTTAAAAATTATAGACGAAAACTTATTTTTTCAAATTAAATTTCTACAGCAATCTTTTGATTTTATGAAGTAAAATCGATATATTTAGGTTCCTTAGACCAAATACTTTAAGAAATAAACATTTATTTAATACAATTCAACATGAGTCAACTAGTCTCTTCTGTGTGCAAAAATGCGCTCTTAGCCATATAGCAGGTACGGACCGCGAGGAAAAGAAACGGCTATATCACCGGTACCAATACCATGCATTGGAATATCACAAATATTTTCTATTAAATCAGTTTATAGTAAGTACTTATTAAGGCTCGTTCCTACTTGTCGGGTGTCGGATCCGTATATTTATCGGAGGTTCCAGTGGCAGAGCATTATATATAAAGCTATTCACACTTATCGGAAACCGATTTTGTGTCGGCTCCGACAAGAAGTGTCAGGTGTTTTGCCAGCCCTTTACGCCCGGAAAAAAATCGTGTCGGATCTTGCTCGCCTATGATTAAGAATAGAAACAGAGGAGCTGTTCATATTTGTCGGGTGTCGGGGCCGACTATCCTCCCCCCGCTACCCCTTGTTCCGTCCGCGCAACTCTTTTTCAGTACAAATGCAGTCTTTAAGTCCTGTATTTTGGTAGATTATGTTCACTAATATTTGAGTCAGTAGATCGTTGAATGTTGATATTGACATCCTAAAATAATTGAAACACTTAATTTCGTCACTTCCCAATTCTGTTATTAAGTTCTAAAATTTACCCAAAATCGAATCTTTCCCTCAGGAATATGTGCACCCAATATTTAATTTCCATGGCGCTCTTTCTTTGTTTTCTTAAATAATAATAGGAACATCACAACAAGAACTTCGTCAAGTCCATCGTGAACAGTCGCCTCGCGTAGAGTGCCTAAAATTGGTTAAAGCTTCAACTGTGACCGATAACCGATTATTAAACGTGTGTGTGAACAAAGGCACCGACAACATCCGATTAATATACGGATCCGACACCCGACAAGTGGGAACCAGCTCTTAGACCAAAAATTGCTTCGATTGGGTTAAATTAACCAACATCGATTAGATACCTGTCCAAAAAACGACACTTTACGCATTATAGGTAAGTATTTTTTTCGCATATTTTCACAGAGCTCTGCGGCATCTGGAGGTTTCCACGGTCAGTAAGTGACTGTGAACCAAGAAGTGCTTGAGTGGTGTTCAAGCATTTCTTGATTGGGAAACATTTTGAGCGCACGTGGTGTATCTAAGGGTATTTAATATCGTTGACAAAACATAGAAATACGTTAAGAGGGCCTTGTGAGAGTGGGGCAGGCGCGCTACAGTTATGTTCAACAAATGCTCATAACTTAACCAAAACTTGGTTCGATTGTTTCATATAGCCTCGTTTGATTAGCTATTATTTATTTAATCTTTATTGCCTTATATGCAAATGGCGGACTTAATGCCAATATGGCATTCTCTACCAGTCAACCGGAAAGAACGTGCAGAGCGAATATAACGGCAAAGAATAAAAAAAATTGAGAGTTAACATCAAACAATGCTAAAAACAAAATTAAACATAAACATAGTTATATATACACATAAAAAATACATATCCTATATTTTTTACCCGATTATAGTAATCTGATTGAGCTTAAGCGCTTTCCAATAGATTAAAGTAATGTTTCCGCGCCAAAGTCTTAAACGCAGTCTTGTTTGGAGCGTTTCACACGTGTAGAGGAAGTGCATTACAGAGCCGAATGGCAGTAAGAGTAAATGAACTGGAGACAACACTGGTATGGTGAATAGGTACACTAAGAATCACATTACTATTAGAACGAAGATTTAATTGATGAGAAGACCCGAGGAACTGAAAACGAGATTTTAGATATCCAGGAGTGCGTGGATCATAAAGTATGTTGTAAAGAGTGCAAACTATCCTTAAGCTCCCGAATAGGCATCCACTTAAGTTTGCTGCGGAATTCAGAAATGTGGTCGTATTTTCGCAAACCGAACACGAAGCGAATAGTGTTGTTGAGGAGTCGATCCAATTTAGTTATAAATATTTGATTTATGTTAGTAAAACAAACATCGGCATAATCAAGTAGGGGATGAACAAGGGATTGAACGAGTGAGATCTTAGTACACGGTGGGAGAAAATTCTTCAAGCGGTAAAGTGAACCGAGTGTACCATTCACCTTGCGGCTTATATTTACAATTTGGCCATCCCAGCTAAGAGTGTTGTCAAGTACAAGCCCAAGATATATATTATCTATTAGGTAGAAATGTAGTGGGAACGAGCCGGCGACATCGTTCCCGTACATACGGTCTATAATTACCCTTCTAACCTTTTCTGTGTTTTGTGGGCAGGACATAGAGATATAGACAAGACCAATCGATGTTATAAGTCAAAAAAAATTGTCTTCACTGCACCTTGTCTCTTGACTTGACTCGCCCTAATTCTTGACCGATTCGTTTAAACGTGCCGTTACATGTGAACTTTGCAAAAGTTATCATGCCATGTCTTACTGTCCTCGTGTTTAGAGAGAGAGAGCGGCAATAGGATAAACGGTACTTGGGCCTGGCGCGCAGTTTCCTGGGCGTGCACAGTCTGCGAGTGACCTGTACAACTGGCAGTACTCACAGGGCGTGTCCTCATGGTTAGCGAGCGGTAGGAGCCGGTACTTGGGCCTGGCGCGCAGTTTCCTGGGCGCGCACAGTCTGCGAGTGACTTGTACACCTGGCAGTACTCACAGGGCGTGTTGTCCTCATGGTTGGCGAGCGGCAAGAGCCGGTACTTGGGCCTGGCGCGCAATTTCCTGGGCACGCACAGTCTGCGAGTGACCTGTACACCTAACGGTACTCACAGGGCGTGTCTTCGTGGTTGGCGAGCGGCAGGAGCCGGTACTTGGGCCTGACGCGCAGTTTCTTGGGCGCGCACAGTCTGCGAGTGACCTGTACACCTGGCAGTACTCACAGGGCGTGTTGTCCTCATGGTTGGCGAGCGGCAAGAGCCGGTACTTGGACCTGGCGTGCAATTTCCTGGGCGCGCACAGTCTGCGAGTGACCTGTACCCCTAGCAGTACTCACTGGGCGTGTCCTCGTGATTGTCGAGCGGCAGGAGCCGGTACTTGGGCCTAGCGCGCAATTTCCTGGGCGCGCACAGTCTGCAAGTGACCTGTACACCTGGCAGTACTCACAGGGCGTGTCCTCATGGTTGGCAAGCGGCAAGAGCCGGTACTTGGGCCTGGCGCGCAATTTCCTGGGCGCGCACAGTCTGCGAGTGACCTGTACACCTAGCAGTACTCACAGGGCGTGTCCTCGTGATTGGCGAGCGGCAGGAGCCGGTACTTGGGCCTGGCGCGCAATTTCCTGGGCGCGCACAGTCTGCGAGTGATTCGTGTGAAGCCATAGCAGATGCCGCCCACAGCGCACAACAACGCCACGCCGCCAAGACTCGCGTACACCACCGACCAGTCTGGACAATATTAAATGATCATACAGCCGCCGCGACTTTGAAATAGTTTTACACTATATTTTATATAAGAGAAAAAACTAGTTTGAAGATAGCACTTTTCTTTAATGAATGTAAACACACTGACAAGATAAATAGGAATGACATCCAAAAACAATAGACATGGATAACGGTATAATAAATTCAAAACGTGATCAGCCAGGATTACGCTTTACAACACTATACTCCTGGAAAAGCTATAATTTACCGTATGGTATTTAAAAACATTAACTTTAAAACAATAACATCTGCCAAACTGCCATAGATGAATATTTTTTTTCGGTCATGTTAATTCACGAATCACTGGTAAATTTCATGTAATTTTAATTAATATTAATACAAAATTTAAGGCGGACGAAATCTTAATAAAATGTCACACTTCTGATTTTGACATTTCAGCTCCACAGTCTGGCATTTAAGATCGCACAAATTCGATCTTAAATGGATGCCAGACTCGCTCGATCATAAGCTACAGTACTCACTTAGAGACGCTAATGCTATATATATATTTAATGCTATGAAGGTACCATAATCGGACATTCCGTCAGAATCGAACTGCGTGAACAAGTTCTGCATCCAGAATGCGTCGCCCCGGCGGCTTTTGATGGCTCGATCAAACTAGACTGGTCGCTACGACACAATAATGCTATAATATATTGCATGTAATATTAAACGTACCACAATCGGGCATTCCATCAGGATCGAACTGCGTGAACAAGCTCTGCATCCAGAATGCATCGCACCGACAGCTTCTAGTGGCTCGATCACAAACTCCACGCCCCGAACATTCGCTGAGACACGCCAACGACCTAACTCTTGCACTTTCCTCTACTGTCGCCGCGGTACGAGCCAATGGCAGCGCTCGAGTGCCCTCTAGAGGTTTACCCTAGGAAAATCATTACAACAGTAAATAAATAATTATTACCCACACCTTTGTTTAAATAAGGGGTTGAAAATCTACAAAATATCGATACTTACATTGCTAAAATCAAAAGGTCTAAATTAAATTCAAGAAATTCGTACTAGAGAAAACATTGACACAGTGTGGATTTTTTCCTATTATAATTTTCTTTAGATTTATACATCCAATAGTTAGATGCTTAAAATAAAAATATAACAAGGTCAAAATTAGTTTATTTCTATTTTTCTTTTAACTATAGTAAATAGTAATTTACTAGATCTTCAATGTTTAAAAAAAGTATAAATATTTTTTTTACCAAATGACTTGCTTTTATTTCATAGTTCGAAGTAGAAGAAAATGTTCGAAGAATTACACCATTAAAATAACATTATAAAATCATAAAGTTTACAAGATTGTAAAACGTTTTGCGTCACAGAGGTATGAATAATATGTACTATTTTGAAGGAAAATTATATTAAACTACTAAATTCAGGGCATTATAATCATAATTTAAAAAAATATATAATTTTTCTGTTTCTTTCTATATTATCATGACTGTTATTTCCGTAGTGAACTGGTCAAAGTAAATAAAATTTTGTAAAAAAAACATGAATAAATTATACGTTTACAGATGTTTCTACGTCTATGATTTTTAATTGTGTGATCAATATACTAATATCGATTTGTTTAAGTTTACCAATTTTTTTCGGAATGTGGCCTAACTTGCTTACAGACAATCATCGAGCGCATGCGCACCGAGACAAAGAATGACATAAGTGGTCGCCCTCGGTCTGTTAGGACTCACGCAGTGATAAAAGCTGTGAAGGCGCGAATTCAAAGAAATCCCAAATGTAAGCAGAAACTGTTGGCCCTTTAGATGAGGTTAAGCAGAACCACGGTGAAAAGGGTTTTAAATGAAGACTTAGGGCTTCGAGCATATCGAAGAAAAACAGGACATCGTTTGAATGCTCGCCCAATGGACCTGAGACTGAAGAGATGCCGCGCTTTGTTAAAGCGGTACGCGGGAAAAAAACTATCGGGAAATTCTTTTTTTGGGATGAAATATTTTTTACCGTAGAAGAGAGCTACAACAAGCAAAATGATAAGGTGTACGCACACAGTAGTAAAGAAGCGAGCAACCGTATTCCGCGTGTCCAACGAGGTCATTTTCCATCCTCGCTCACGGTATGGTTCGGAGTTTCTTATTGGGGCTTAACAGAGGTACATTTTTGTGAGAAAGGTGTAAAAACGAATGCAGTTGTCTACTCATACCATGTTCAATAACAGGCACTGGGTATTCCAACAACATTCGGCGCCAGCTCATAGAGCGAAGAGCACACAATACTGAAATCGGCGCGTGAAATCGTCTTCATCCGGCACGAAGACTGGCCCTCCTACAGTCCAGATTTGAGTCCGTTAGATTACAAGATATGGCAACACTTGGAGGAAAAGGCGTGCTCAAAGCCTCATCCCAATTTTGAGTCACTCAAGACATCCTTGATTAAGGCAGCTGCCGATATTGACACGGACCTCGTTCGTTCTGCGATGGACGACTGGCCGCGCAGATTGAAGGCCTGCATTCAAAATCACGGAGGTCATTTTGAATAAACTTTATTGTCATAAAAATCTATGTTTTGTTAAGTTAATTTTGGTATATAAATGGTTACATAATGAATAAACTTGTTTCAATTATATTATATTAAACATGAGACAGAATTTATGACCTGACTACGTAAAACCTGAGCTGTTTTTATCGCAGTATTTACAAGGGGACGCTCTATCTAGAGAATAAATAATCAAAGGTTGACATCACTCATTAATGTTATTTACAATTCCATCAACTAGTCCAAACTATTCTCTGTTTATTAATAAGTGGTTACAGATTGCATTAAAAGCCTAACAGACATGTTTTTCAGATCTTTGAGGGGTTGGCAGTGATAGATCTAGACCAGCTAGGTACTGTCTGAAAACATTAAATCGCTGCATTTAAACACTTCTAATAAATATACTCTATTATATCCCCGTGCTTCGGAAGGCACGTCAATAAGCCGTTGGTCCTGGCTGCATCTGCAGTCGTTAACACCCACCAATCCGCACAGGGCCACGTGGTGGGTCATGGCTCAATCCCTATTCCATCCATAGAGCAGGTCTGTGCCCCAGCAGTGGGGTCCATGACGTCAGTCTCATTAATAGGCTATTGAAGAATAAATTTACTCACCTCTTTGGACAGAAAGAAAATCAGTTGAGTATTGCCAGTATCGACTTGTCCCCTTACACCAGTGACGTTGACTCGAATATCATCTTTCAATAGTAACGTCATCTTCTGCACAAGCGAGTCTAACTGACCCTGAGTGAAAGTCGACACCGGTATATTGAGGGTCATTTCTAAGAGGTTGGTCTCCTGTTGATCCGGTTTCACTTGTACACTGACTGTGTCCCGACCGGATTCCCCTTGGTCGTCCATTACTGTTAATTCGAATACGTACCTACCCGGTTCTATGTTAGTGAGCTGGAAATATATATATTTAACATCACATAACTGAACACAAGAATAACTAGAAGAATTTCGACGTGGCCATCAGGGCTGCGGTAGCATAATTGGTCTGTGTATTCGCCCGGATAGCAAAGGGTGCGGGTTCGAGTCCCGTCTGCTGCCTGGTCCGCGTGGAATTTTTTCTAGTTATATTTTCTTTTAATTTAAACATCAAGCAGTTACATGCTAAAAAATAAAAATTATAATTACATAACTAGCTAAACGCTTGTGTTATTAATTGAATATTAAAAAATGACCACTAAAACCGAATCTGATATGATGACTTTATTTCATTATATACTGAGGCTCAAGCACGAACTTTCGACAGCTCCGTAATCGTATCGTCATCGTCTAATTTTGTATGGAAAAAACTAGTTTGTTCTTACGTCCGATAATTTTCATGCTTAGTTTTGATTGAGACTTTGACGTTGCAATAAGATTACTGTGCTATCAAAGTTTGTGTTTGGGCCTCTGGGATATTTTTCAAAATATGGTGGCAGGTATTTGTCTACCATCTAGAATGTGAAATGTGTCATTGCATAATTACCAATAACACAGGCCGTGTGTCCGAATTCAGTATGACCGTACCAGCGGCCAAACCCGACCCTGAGCGCGTCCATTTCCACGACACTATCCTGAAGTCGTCAGAGGATTTGGATCCATTCAGTATGAGGACTGGCTGCGGCAGATATAGCACTTGGTCGCCTCCAGCATCCGCTTTCGGTGGACTGTTCTTATCTAATAAGCAAGACAATCAAATTAAAAATTGTAAGGAAAGCATATGCCACTACATTTATTATTTACCAAAAAAAAACAATTGCTGGTTTTATAAAGAATCATTCCTTAATAAATGCACCCATGCAAATTAGAATAAAATTACAAACTTCGATAATAGGACCCTCTCAAGCTGATATTTGTTGCCGTGCTGATAATATATCACATAGCAGAATCATTTAATTTTAACTTGTCAAATTGGTGTATTGACCTATTCCATCATTTTGGCAAAGAAAGTAATAATGTATCGACATTAATCAATCTTAAAAAAAATATTAATGTCTCTGCGTGCGGTCTCGTAGTTCATTTATGAAAGCTGTCTAAATAATAAAGCTAATTTTTGTTTGAGAAAAATCCGACTTAAATTAAATAGTATATTAATGTTTCATTTAAAGTGATTACTTTAATAATACCTTTAAACATAACGCACATTTTCTTTTTTTTCTTTTATTAAGCTATTATTCATTTTTCGAAACAATTTAAGTATAAAATATTTAATTCTGACCTAGAGAGTTGAATTTTAACACAGGTGTTGTATTTAAGACGAACCTAGTCATGACAGACTTTAACGTGTTCACATTTTTGTAGGTTTCACTTCTATCGCATGTGAAGAGCACATGTCCGTTTATTTTTTAATCTTGTGTAATGTTATTAACAAACAATGATTTTTCAAGCATTTCATGCAAAAGTTAGTTTTATTCCTTAAAGTTATGATAGAAGTAGGTAGCTACAACAATTTTGCTCTTCAAGCATTTACAGGGCAGCAGTTGTAAAAATTTTGGACTTGGGAAATGTGGCTCTGATATTTGCTAAGCTGACTGTACATGGTTTTATTACCATTTAAATCTATTATTTTATTCCTTTAAGCATGCCATTACGACGTAAGTAGTAGCAGGAAATGCTGACCGATTAAACATTTGGGAAATATGAGTATTAAAATATTTATTCATCCATAGTTTGTAAGGATTGAATATCAAAGAAGAATTAATTATATACTCAGTTACACCTCTACTACTTAACATTTGGCATTGATCAGGCCAAAGTTCTAATCCCGCAATACTATAGGTATTTATCAGACTGCCACCACCTAAAATAACTACTAGAAAGTATTCCCTGCCCATTCACGTCTAGTTTTATATTTATTAATACTTAGTTCTGCCCACTTAACTTAGCATATTCTAAATGCTCTAACTCAAGCATGGTAGATTAATTTTAATTCCAACCACCATACCTAATTAAAGCCCGACCAGAGAAATAAAAAACAAATACATACATATTTCAACACGTTGAAAATCTTTAAAAAAAATTGTCCAATTTCTGTGACTTCTTTAATAGGTAGTCTAAAATTCACAACTAACCACTTTGAAATCAAATAAACGGGATGAGATTTATACTATTGCTAAACACTAAAGTCTGCAACATGGCGAGACTTTTTATTTTTCTGGTCAGAACTAATTCATGGGCGTAGGTAGGTAGAGGGGGGGGGGGGGGGGGGCGGACCACAAAATAGACAGTGCAGAAGGCAATCTGTATATAAGTACTTCACTTCTTATACCTACGTTTGGCGGTCGTCGCTAGGATTGTCATCTTTGACTTATGCACAAAAAACTATAGTGTTATAATGGCACTTGTAACTAGTTGTTTGATTTATTGTTGAGAAGAGAATGAAACAGGATGATTGGAAATATAAACCAACAACAAACAAAAAAAATCAATAAAAACCGGAAAATTGCGAGTCGGTCTCTCCCACCAAGGGTTTCGTACAAATTTGGAGGTACGCAACATAAACGGCTGTTTTTTTCATGTTAACTGCGAAGTTTGATTTTACCACAGCGTCAAGTAACTGTAGATCTGAGTTTTGTGATTTAAATTTCAACTTGATATTTCTACGCGTTCCCGAGATAAAGGGTCTTGACAAACAGACAGATAGATAGACAGACGGACAACAAAGTGATCTTAAAATGGTTCCGTTTTTTCCTTTTGAGGTACGAAACCCTAAAAAACGACAATCACCATAATGTTGAATTTAAACAACCGTCCACTAAACAGCTTCAATAAAAAAATGTTGATCTATTTTTCCATAAAAGAATTCACAGACGCGTGTCTTAAGAGAATAGATCTCGCGCCTGTAGTGATTGCAACCCAACGGGTCTAAGATATCATCTTAATGAGCGGTGTCTATGTGTATGTTGGTTAAGCGCATAATATGTAGATTACCTTCTGTACTGTGTTATATTTTGTGGTAGAAACATGTCTGCTAATCGTAAAATAACTTTACAGTTTATAAAATACATAAATTTCAGAAACATTGAAAAAATGCCTAGCCACGCCCATCGTTTTAGTTTATAACTTACTTTGCGTGACCGTAACAGTGACATTGTCCGTGGCAGAGTTGCCGTTGTCGTCTAGCACGGTCAGCAAGAACACGTACTGGCCTTTAGTGAGCCCAGTGGCGTTGGCGACGGACTCGTTAAAGCCGACAATGTTAGAATTAGTGGGGCCGGAAAGGCATCGCCATGTGTACGCCACGATGCGGTGGTCGTCGTGGGACGCGGAGCCGTTTAACGTGATCCACGTTTGGGGGAGCGATATGAACTGAAATTGCAACTCGCCGATACAAACGAGGCTACACATTTTTCTTTAAAAATAGACAGAATTTCTTCAACCTTAATATTACAATATTTATTTGATACTTAAGGTAATGACTGATTTGATACTTAAGGAATTGGGATGATGACGAACTGTTTCGTCTATCAGATTATGAAAAAGTATTAAGCACACATTTTTTTCTTTTTTCACACAATCAAAACAATACAGAGATATTAAATTGAAATGTCGCGTGACGTCACGTCTTGGTACAATTTACATTATTTTTTTCCTATTTTTACCTATTTTCACTTAGAAGTGACGTCACGAGCCCTCACTCCCAAAATTTGATTGCGCTTTATCTTTGTAATGTTTTGGTTGACTGACTAAAGAAAAGAAAATTGACCATTATTTTTTGATAATCTAATTTCGGTAACTTTACCCCCTCATCATCCATATTGTATCGATTGTCGTGGCCTCGATTATACTTTGGTTGTGCACCGGTTTTAATTGTTTAACTACATGCAAATTAGTAGTACATAGATAGCACCCACAGCATTCTTTTTTATTGTTATTGACCAGCCATTCAGACATACACAGTATTAATCATGTTGAGTAGTTATTTACTTGATTATTACACGCACATAGACATGCTTGATCAACCATTTTGTTGTGGCATAGCTTAGGGTTTAAAGTAGCCCGGGGCGGGAGGAAATTTTGCGGCCCACTTACCACTACCCTCTCCTCTTGCTTTTTTTCAGTCAGAGGGGAACTACAACCTTTAGCACGAACCATTATCGAGTTTGCGAGTGCGAAATGTCATTGTCAAAAGTGTACTGAATTTTAATTTTCGTTACGTCCGTTATTGCGCTGTTGTTCAAGTTTCCATACAAAATTTGAAAATGACATTTCGCACTCGCAACCTATTTGAATTTGATAATGGGTCGTGCTAAGGGTACAGATATTTTTTAAAAATTGTAAAATTTACCGCAGTGGTCGGTCATTGGATGGGTGACCAAAAATGTACTGTCTCGAGATCCTCCGTGCTTCGGAAGGCATCTTAAGCCGTTAGTCCCGGCTGCATCTGCAGTCGTTAGCACCCACCAATCCGCACTGGGCCCGCGTGGTGGGTCATGGCCTGATCTCCCTATTCCATCCATTAGGAAGGCCTGTGCCCCAGCAGTGGGGACATGAATAGGCTGATGATGATGATTATTACAGTACTTACCACATCGGCGCCGGCGTTAGCCACTGGCGGGGTGTTAGTGGGCGGTTTCACGAACACGTGCACTTCAGCGGTAGACGACTGGCCCGACGAGTCTGTCACTTTCAATACGAAAGTATATACTCCTTCTGATAAGTTTGACAACTGTCAACCAATACAGTGATTATTATCTTACCACAAAAAATAATAATCAAGCTTTGTACACGAGGTAAATAAGAAAATGGGTGCAATAGTGGCAGTAGTCGCTTAGATTAAAACTAGATTGACAGCTGTCTATCATATGGATACTGCTGTCAAATTTAGTTTAAGATTTAAAAGACTTATGCTGCTGTTAAACTGCTATCAAATTTAGTTTTAGATTTAAGAGAGTTATACCTGAGTCAGGCTCTACCATAATTACGGCTAAAGTACGGCCTACACGAAGCGATACAAAAGTTCATTCACCTTATACGAGACTATGGGACTGACAGTCTAATAACTATCTCCTTCATATAATATAAATGACATTAGGTCTCGTTCGTTCGACATGTCATGTTATCGGCGAGGAGCCGCGTACGCCAACATTCTGGCGCCCATTTTACATTAAACAATAATATCATTTTTTCATTTGGTTCTGTGTTTTTCTGACTATTTGAGGTAATAACTTTTTGTCTTTTTAACTGTAATGATCTTCTGTTTTTAAAAATCTAAATGATTGTTTTGTACATGATATTTAAATATATGCCTATTAAACTGATATAAGTCCGATATTAAATATCATAAATAAAATGTTATTTTCAAAAATTGTGCCAACTCCTGCATTGGTCATTGACCTTCCATCGACTTTGTTTACTTTTTGTATCGCTTCTCTTGTATCGTATTGGAAGTCTAAAGTGACATGCCTGTGAAACATGTGACGTCGGTTTAGAAACTCAATTTTAATTTTTGATTTTTTTATTGAAATAATTATTACTTGATATTTATTAAAAGAAATATCTCCATGTATAATAAAGACCGTGAAAAACTTTTAACACTTCAGATTTTCATTCTGTATAGCACATGATAAGGACAACCTGCTGTCAATAGCAAATACGAATAGCCATTACCCAGGTGTTAAAATCGTCGCATGTTTTTTGTTTATGCCGAGAGAGGAAGAAGAGAGATTTTTTTTCTTTTTTAACACAACAATATTATTCATTGATGGATCCATGTGTTTGTGTATGGACACCCCAAGCGACCTTGGATTTTATTTGAACCCCCCTTGCGATTAACAGGTCCATGCCCTTCCGGCGAAGCAATAGAAGTAGGTCTGACGCCCGAGTATTTTTTTGGTCTATCCATATTTGAGAGATACACATCAGTTTTCCTCACCGCACCGTACCAACCTGCATCTAATACCCTCAACTTTATAAAGCTTTGGCCACCTATTTCACTGCAGAAAAGTATGTAAATCTACAGTTTTTTTGTAGCTTTCTTCTCGTAAGTGAGCGAGATAGAGAGAGAGAGCTAGTTTTGTTATTTTTATTACCTGTAAATAAGGAGAATGTGTATTTTGCATATCCACAGCCTTGTTTTCATCCTCAGCAGACTTCGTCCACTCCCAAGACGTAATTTCATGATCATCAGTAGAAAGGCTTCCATTCAATGTGAGATTATTATTTGGTAAATATAAGATAACATCTTGACCTAAAAAGTCAATCATACATTATTGAGTATTATTTAACTTTTTCATAGTAGACACCAGTTTTACATCACTTATTTGAGGTCTCATGAAATATTGAGTTTTACCAGCATTGGCTTCTGGTGGATAGTCCGTGTGATTCAACACAGTTATATTGGCAGTTGTAGAATTTTTTACATGATCCGAGTCTTCGACGGTGAGTCTAAATGTGTAGTTGCCGGGTTGTTTCAAATCTTTTAGCACGAGGGTGGGTCCATCTTGCAATGGGGGTTGATAACCAATGGGCCCTGATGTTAAATCCCAGTGCCAGGATATAATGGCGTCGTCGTCCTGGTAAATATGACTCAAATTATATGTCAGGCAAAAAAGTGTTTGTAAGGAACACATTCCTAGATTTGTTTGCTTACAGCAACGATATTAAATACACCAACACGAACAAAATCGTGTCTGAAACCTTTCCATAAGGTAAGTATTTTTACATACTAATTTCGCATTCGCATTTTTTTACGGAGCTCTTGTAATGGTCCGCGCGTGACTGCTTGAGTGGAGTTCAAGCACTTCTTGATTGGGACACATTTTAAGCGCACGTGGTGTATCTAGGGTATTTAATATCGTTGCCGTACAGGTAAAATTTATTAGTAGATAAGTTGTTTTTCAAGAGATTCTTTTAGTTGTAAGCTGTAAGTATAATATTATTTAAAATGAAAGTTGTGCTGTATTAAGTCAGCGTTAAATTGAATTTGATAAAGCTGATTATAGACACACAGCTGTCAAAATCCATTGTACTTTGACAGTCAAAGTTGAAAAAATGGCTTTATAAAATTAAAATTAGCATTCATCATGCACTTCCATCGATTACAGCGCCAGATTTAGGCAGTTTATTCTTTGCAGCAGTTACAGTGGCAAGACCTTATCTGTACAAATTATATATTATAATACACACCTTGCTAGAGCTTCCATCGAGTACAGCCCCAGAATTTGGCAGCTTCACGGTCTGCGTTTGTGGAGTGATGACCACCACAGGTGCTGTGTTTATTCTCTTTAGCGGCAGCACAGTTACAGTGGCGAAACCTTCTCCATATGAACTGGTGCCATTCACAGTGACTTTGAACCGATACTGACCCTCTGTGAGATCTGTCAACTTTACCGTTGCTCCATCTTGGTTCATGTTACCTATAAAATTTATATTTATGTACTCTTCATTTAATGAGGTAGGGCATAGCGGATTTCCCGCTTAGTTGAAGCACCCATCTATGGAAGTAACCTCCATCTTTCAGAAGACCACGGACCCACATTATAATAACCAGAAGAGTCATTTTACTGTGGGTGGTGTTTTGGTGCTGTTGTGTTTCTGTCCGTGAGTAAGGATCTAGGCAGTGTTGTCACCTCGGTGGTTTTCCCACCAGAACTGGTGCTTTTTCAAGGCTTCTAGTGGTATTTTTTTATTATTATAGTCTATTTATTTTTGTGGTTTTTCAATATGGAATCTGGCAACATATTTTTGAGAGGGAAATCCCCTACGTGCTTGCTCTATGACGAGCATAGTCGTTACTTAGTGTTTTCTTTTTATCTGTCATTCTATGTCTAGACCACAATTTGGTAAAAATTAAAAAGTAAACGTTAAATTTAGAATTACTACATTTCTTTTCTATCAGTTTCATAAAAATTAGTTCTATGTTCAATAGAACTAATTTTTATGAAACTGATAGATAGAACTGATAGAATGACTACTTTTCATACATTCAAAAACCTGAAACTTCGGTTCCTTCTATGATGATGAATATTGACTGAACAAAGCAACAACAGAGGTAACCAATTATTCCAATTCCTTCTGACTACTAACCTAGAGATAATCAACACAGGCAATGAACCAACCTTCGTAGGCAGACGGTGCAAGACCATCATAGACCTGACCCTCGCGACACCAAAAGCGGCAACAGCTATAACTGGCTGGCATGTCTCCGATGAGGCATCATGCTCAGATCACCGCTGGATCCGCTTCACACTACAGGTAGGAACTATCTCCTACACCCCAAAGGTATCCCCGGAAAACCGATAAACACCGCTACGCACAACTACTGGCGGACCTTCTGAGAAACAACTCCGGTAAGGGCAGAATTGAAACCACGGAGCAGCTAGGAGAACAGGTAAAACACTTGACAAACAGCATAAGACGTTGCTACGAAGAGGCCTGCCCCCTTAGACTCCCGAACTCGAGGGTATCTGGAAAACACCACTGGTGGGGGGCCGGAGCTCGAGAGATTGAGAGGAAAGGTGAGGAAGTGCCTTAACAGAGCAATAAATACATGCACACAGATTGGGACAACTACACAGCTATTAAAGCTAAGTACAAGAAACGTATCATATACTGAAGAACAGCCTCCTGGAGGAACTTCACCGAGGAGATAAGCTCCACCAACCAGGCAAACCGGGTAAGGAAATTGCTGTCCAAGAAGGCCCTGGCGTGCTGGGTAGCCTGCGTCGACCTGACGGCACATTGCCCCATAATCGGGCTGACTGCGACACTATTGTCCTAGAAACCCACTTTCCGGACTGCCAGCTTAAAGAGCAGGTGACTTGGCAAGATGCACCTCCAAGTACAACAGAAGGATGCTGGAGACTAGCAGAGACGGTAATTACGCCTGAGGGAGTAAAGTGGGCTATTAACTGCTTTGCCCCTTTTAAGTCTGCTGGCATCTTTCCAGCACTACTACAATGGGGCGGACAGGACGTGGACGCGGCTACTCGTATATTAAGATCATGTTTGACGACCTCCGTGGCCGAGTGGTTTGTACGCCGGGTTTCATGGTATCGCCGACTCGAGAGGTCCCGGGTTCGAATCCATAAAAAACACACACGCACATACTGCTATACTATATAATTATATTGAAAATTAGCTACTGATGTAAAGAAATTAAGTCCTTTAAATAGTTTATGGTTTAATACTTTAAATAGTTAATGTATGATGCCTTCCCCCCTAGCATGAGGACCGCGATATAATGATATAATATAATGTGACGCGTGTTTTGTCGCGCTCAGGTGTCAAATTCTTTGGAGTTTGACAGCTGGACGCGATATGACACGTGATACAATGTGAATTGTGGTGCTCATGCTACGGGGGCGGGATAAATTAAAACTTGTCTATTTTTCTTTCGAAAGTAATTTTAATGTCAAAAATTGTTATAGTAAAGTTCAATGTAAAAATTGACGAAAGAGCGAGTATCCCCTAATACAAGTACAATACTTAAAAGGGAATACTCAACAACATGTTTATATGGAACCTCAGACCAAATAAAAAGTATGGAACTTGTAAGCATTAAAGATTTTTTTCATTTCATTTTTCGTTTTCATTTCATCTTACTAAGAAGGACTTGGAACTTGGCTTGCATTATCCCTTTCATAGCTCCTAAATTAACCAAACAAGAATTGAGAACTGATTGTAATGGAGGAATTACATTGTTTTCTCTGAAAAAAAGTCAATAAATTTTCAGTTTGTTACCATATTTTTCAAGAAAATGAATTTTTGAATGAAAATGAACACATTTTTGCTGAAGTTTTTTAAAATTGTAATATAACCTATGATTTTCTTACTACAACAAAAGTTTGAGTACGAATGAACAAATCAATATACATCCTGTGTCTGTTGTAGGGTAGGGACCGGTTCCATGTAAAATCACCCATGGTCCTTTGTTCAGTACTTTTTGCATGATTTTGTAGCAAACATACGAACTTTCACATTTATAATGTTAGTAGGATTTATTTATTTGATTAAAATTTTAACTTGTTATGCACAAAAACTCAACATTACCTGTAAATCCTCCTTTTGATTGATCTACCAAAGTCCACACATAGTTATAATGACTCTTAGTAGCCTTTTCATCAGGAATTGTGTAAGCAGCTAGGGTCACTTCATTGTCAGGTAACTGGACCTTAAAATAAATAAATTAATATATAATTTCCTTTGGAATACCAATATAAACAACACTGTTAATAGATACGTCTTGTTCTATAATATATTAATTGACAAATTCAAATAATATAATAGACATGAATTAATTATTTGCTTTATTGTGATGTAGTAAACTTTTTAATAAGTAATAGATAATAGTAGGTACATAAAAGCAATTTCTAACTAGAATTTCAATTTATTTCTATTTTATTTGAAATACTTTTAAGGGCATATTTTGTATTTGCAAAATGTAAATACTTTTTAACCAACTTCAAAAAGGAGGAAATTCTCAATTCGGTTGGTTTTTTTTTTGTGAATGTACACCGATCACTCTGCGTTTTTTGATCTGATTTACCTGTCTTTTTTGTCTGATGCACAATAGTTGCCATTTAGTCCTATAAACATTTAATTCAGTTTGGCGCACAGTAGTTTATATTTAATGGGCGGTTTTATTTTATGAGCACTTTTGTTTACTTAGACAATGTAATTTTCAGGACACTTTGTGTAGGGGCTCTTTTTCTTTGAGATTGAAACGAAAATTATTATTAAACAAAAAATAAAACCCAACTTCAGAAATCGAAAATGAAACTATAAAGTACAAAACTCACACAAAATCAAGTGGATCCTAGTATGATTAGGAAGTCTGGCTGGACCCAGATTGAAACATGGAATAGATTTTCATTTCTAAATGATGATTTGTTTTGTTTTCTAGCCACTAAGACTTTAAAAAAACACCAACAAAATAATCACAATTTATAACTAAAAGTATTTCATTCCATTAAAGTTTTTGCGAAATACATATTTCGTATTTTAAATATAAAATGATTACTATTTTTTATTTGAAATTAAAAATTTCAAAGTATTTATACTTTGTAGTTAAATAATTTCTATAATGTATTTTGCACTGCGTCATCTCAATCCCAGACATGAAAATTTATGGCAGACAGAGCATCACCTCTCAGTCGACACAGAACTAACACAGCGTACTGACAATGGTTCTTGTAGCAACATTGATAAATTACCTGCTTATCTGACACAGACACTGTCAAATTTTGTATAGTTTTGGGAGTAGACATTTCAGTTTTGGTTTCATCCATTTTAGTACCAGAAACGTCATCAGGCTTTTTTATCGAATCAATTGGTATTGTGGGGCCTTTAGCATATGGTCTTATTATTTGTATACAAGCACCCTGTGCATTCTCTTCTGTCCCAGGTATACATTTGCAGATACCATTATTTGGTTTAATACCCAAAGGAATACATTCAGAATTAAAAGGGCAGTCATTGGCTCCAACATCACATGACACTTTGTCTAGATAGTTATTAGCATCCATGATCATGTCACTATCATTGTTATCTCTATATTTATCAAATGTTCTTGCTTCATCTTCTTCTATGTTTGGCAAATTATTTATAAAATGGGATAGGAAACTGGTGTCATCATCCTCATTTATGATATCATTTCTATGGCTTGTGTAAGGGGAATATAAAGTTTCTTCCTCTGGAGAATAACCATTGCTCACTTCTGAGTAGCTAGATTGATCTAATATGTCTGACCAGTTTTCTGCAAACACATAATAAAGTTTGTGAAATAATACACAAACAAAAACTTAACAGTAAAGATTTGATTAACCTAACCTGTTATTTAGATCTGTAATTATTGTACATATTGCCACCCAGAAGTTCACAATCATAGTGCCTGAGATAATTTGAGTAATTAGGATAAAAACATAGGCATCTCAAGCAAAGGCACCACAACCAACCCAACAAGTAAATTTAAGTTTTTTAACTAAAGGGAATCAAATTTAGAACCTTTAAAAATTTGTCAATGTTCCAAATTTGATAGTTGTCATAATCAGGTGTGCTAGCCTGTCCTCAATAGGATATTGCAGATCCATGTGACTAACACTCCTGTGTAAGTTAGAAAAGTACAATAAATAAATTACAAACCATTGGGAAGAACTGGTTTCACAAATATCATGGACACATGGGCCTGCCATTTTCTTGTGCCAACTCTTGGAATTGGCAAGCACATCTCATCACTGACACACTCCACATGAAAGCATCTAGCTTCAACAATAAACACAATATTGCAGGTGTCACTCAGACAGCAAGCCATTACACACTGCCGCAATCCCTTGAGACCAGTTTTTTCAGAGTAATTGCCTGCAGTAATATTGCCTGTAAAATTAACAAGAGGCTTTTAAATACAGATTGATTCAACAGGAAATTGTATGACAAAGAAAATGGCTATTGATACAGTACAAACAAAAGCTAAAATTAAATTTCAAGATAATTACCAGCTGGAGCATAGTTTACAAAATTTTTTGGGTACAATTTGGGGCATTTGTTACTTTCATATTTATCATTCCAAGGTTTGCTAAACTGCGTGACAGATGTTTTAATATTTACGGCTAAGAGCAATACCATAAAAATAATAGAAGAGGGACATGAGCTACCCATTATTCAAAAACACCAAAATTATTTGTAAACTGAGTAAAAATAATTATAAATACTTTTGTTAATGAAGGAGAATACGCGTGGGTGTCGTGATATCAATGCACCAAGTTAATCAAAAGTTCAAAACTGATCTAATATTACTCATTTTTAATAAAAAAATTATCAGCACGTTGTACAACAGTCACAACAATAATAACTATAGAAAAGATATTAAATAGAGCTGTAGCAAACCGTATGTATTCGGTACTGAGTAACGGGTACGCCATCTAGTACCGAGTAACGAAACGTTACACACAAATAAATTTCGTTACTCGCATCTTTCAGATTTGTTTCAAATTAAACTTACTTCGGCTGCCATTGGCATGCTTCACTCAAAATTATAATTATAGAAGAGGTTACGTCCGTCTTTTTTTCAGGTGGTTTCAAATAGGTATACACAGCACAGACAGAATAATTGTATTACACTTGAATAAATCAAATACAGTCAAGCGAAAAGCACAATAAACGGTGAATCAATGACAGTTCTTAACAATATGGTCGCTAAATAAATAACTATGAAACAAAACAAAGCGTAAAATAAGCACAGTCACAGATTGGAAAGAATTTGAATATGTCAGTTGCTGACTTTATAAAAACGCAATAGGGCATTTGACAGTATTAAAAATAACGAAAAACATATTAGTTTTCTTACTATTGTCACGTAACCCAAAACGCTTGGGATTGGCGGAGCCTAATATGACGTCACACGCAAGTAAACTTCCGGTCAAAGTGACATTACATTGTATCGTTTGACGTTTTAATAACAGTCGTGTGACGTCACTCACTAGTAAGACGCCATATTGTCCAGAGAAACGTTTTCGCGGCAACTTGAAAATGGAGTTTTTGATTTGGTTATTTTTACTGAAATACACGACAGAATGATGAATATCCACTTTTTACGGACTCCATAAACATTAGTCAATAACGTGAGATCGTTGCCTAAAACTTGTCAAATACCCTATGGAACGTTTTAGAAGGTTTGCTATGATTTAACAAGATGGCGTTGCCATCAATATGAGGCGCTTTTCCAAATTTTTAAAGGTATCGATCTTTATCGATACTTGCCAAAAAGTACTCATTTAGTAAAAGTATCGAGTACAAAAGTATCGGTATCGAAAGGAAAAGTACTCGATACCACAAAGTATCGATACTTTTTTCGTGTCCCTACCGACTGTATTGCTACATGCATACTAGTGGCGCCATCATTTAATGTCACGACTTTATAGACAAACTGTAACTGAGGAATTAGTGAAATTATTAAAATATACGCTATTCCGGTCAAATGGACGTGAGAACTTTATTGTCGAGTTGACTACCTCACAGAAGCTTAACGAAAAAGCAAACTTGATAGATTTCGTTTAAAATATTTAATTTTTTTTATAATTTTATTTTGAGAACAAAAGATTTTTGTAGTAGTTCTTTCTTTCGTTATGTTTAATTTCATTCCAAGCAGAACTATTTTTATGTTGATTTATCGTTAGAATGCTATTTAAGTATTATTATCAATACAATAATATTCGAGACCTATTTGCTTTATCATTATAATTGATGAATAATGGATTGCGATGTTATTGTGATATAACATAAGCTCACGGTTGATAATTTCAAAATAGTAAAACCGATTTTTTTATGAGAAGTAACGAGTAACGTAACGATACTATAGTAATTGTTAAAGTAACGAATACATACGGGTACGCTTTTTTTCGTTACTTTTACACCTCTAATATTAAAGATAAAGATAGTGTTGCCTTGTGTGTGTATTAGTTCGCTAACGAACTAGAACGCTGAACTAGTTCTCTTCAAACCCTACTTCATTAAATAAACACGATACGTTATTAAAAATAACATGACGAATATTTTTTCCATTAAAGTATAATTTTACTCGATTTAATCGAATCGAAATAGTGTGTCAATGGTGTCGATTCTAGCATTATTCTCTAAACCTAAACTTAAATTTGACAGCAGTATATCCTTGTCATTCTCTATACAGAATGAAAAGGGGAGACTGATGTTAAATTTAGTTTTAAGTTTAGAGAATCACTTCAGAATTGGCACCACTACCGGTATTTTTTTTCATGCGAAAATCTGTTAGTTAAATCTACGATGATGTTGTTTTAATAACAGTTTTCGAACATTAATTTCTACTTGAACAACTGCTTCGGAAGAACAAGAGGCTGTTCACAAGAGTGCATTATATATTTGGTGTCATTATTAGTAAACCATAGTAACATAGATGCTGGGACACTATGAAAAATGTCACTATGTGACTTTGTCTTGTGTGTTGTTCACTTGTTTGTTTCATGGCATATGGGATAGTTATGTTTACTTTAGAGAATTTATTTTATTATTTACTATATTACTAAGGTGTTTTCACTGTTCCTACATTAAGATGATGAATACAAATTAATACAACATGTTTTTGAATTGAAATACCTACAATATAATATATGAAAAATGAAATGTGATGAAACTGTTAAAACCTTATTTTAAAGAATGTTGTTTTTAGTTTTATTATGAATAATAATAAGTGATAAGTTGAGGAACTGTGTGAACGAATTATGAAACTAAAATCAACAAACAAGTTCACCGAATTGAGAACTAAATCACTCCCGAGGACGAACTTCTGCGCAGTAGGGATGGGCGTTTTTAGAATAACGATGCGCGATAACGATGCCAGGTTCGGATGCGCGCATCCGATGCGACTGGATGCCGTTATTGGATGCCGATGCCGATGATGTCATAAAAATGTCAAAATGCTGTGACTAAATTGTAGTTCAAATTTTTGCCACCGGTACAGAAAAGTTTGTGACACTGTTGCTATAGTAACGATGACAAAAACTAGATGGCATCGGCATCCATTAAGCTAACAATTTTTATGTAACTATGCAATTGTTCAAGCGTACAACAACACAAAGTTAGGGATGCGACATTAAAGAATGAACGATATTCGAATGAACAGTTCTTGATGAATGAACATAATGTTTTTTTAAATGAAAATAAATGTTTCATTTATAGATATCTATCTAAAAGCTTATTTATAGTTTTAGTACTTATGATTTTTATGCACAAAATTTTAAATTTTTTTTTGCAAGTTATATTGCTGTGCAAAAATCTTTCCAACTGATTTTGCTGCCTTTTGTCGGATACCCTGCCTATATTTAATTGCTTTTACACCCTTAATACAAACTACAAACAATGATGCAATACAAAAAATGCAAACGCAGCATATTGTCACAAAACACTGCGTAACTGACCCAATGTTTAATATAATGGGGATAGCGAGTTAATATACTTCAGTGACTTAAAGTTATTTGTTTTACTGATAATGTTTTCCTCAGTGGTTCAAGAAGTCAATAATTTTATTATGTTTCATTAATTAGAAAAAACCTCAATGATTCAAGCTTTCGGCAAAGATTAATCCCATGCTTTCAACGAGTGTTCGAACGCTTAATCCAAAATGATAAAAAAATACAAACCTATATATTTCAGGAATCATGGGCACGGCAGTGCCCCCGCCAAGTAAAGCAAAAACAGACGCACGGCCGTACCATCCTTTTCTCGAAACAGTTCAGCCCATTTTCAACCCCCTTGTAATTTCGTTGGCGATAAAACTAGAAGTCTGTGTTTTCAGTAACCAAGTAGTCATTGTATAAAGTCGGTATACATATTTCGAACTTAATTGAATTTGAGCCAGTAGTTTAAGAATCATAACTAGTCAAAGTTTCTTAATTTTGTCACTCACTGACTAATCGATCATCAAAACTCTAAGGCACTTCTAGCAGACACAAAAGCTTCAAATTTAGAATACAGTTAGTGATTAATGTATAAATTAAGGAAAAACTAATATATTTTGCAAATCGGCCCATTTTCTAGATATACTAACTGTACAAATAACTGTGTAATAACTGAATCAGTGTATGTCTTATATAAATATTGTACTATATAATAATAGACAGGCGTAGATAAGTATCTAGATATAACAATATAAAATTGGAATCCCATATTTAATTTACATTTAAGAATAGAACGCGAATCGAATGCTTTTAGAGTTCAAATCAATTTGAATATGTTTGATTTAGTTTTACTTTTTACCGTAAGAGGGAGCTGTATGTAGTTGCTTTTCGAGCATTTATAGAGAGGTTAAACGTTGATGGGATAGTACTAAGGTATTACATTGTAATCGTACCAAAAGTCAGGGTCTCAGTCTAAATAATGCGTTGATGGATATCGGTTCTGCAGTATTCATATCACGTCAAGCTTACGTGGCAGTTTCGAGAGTTACAAATCTGGGCGGCTTACATTCAATTATTCTCGACCTCAATTTGTGAATATAAATAGACTTAAAAGCAATTATCGTCCAGACTTGACAAAAATTGTAACATCCATTGTAGAGCCTCCAAGAAAAAACCCATTAAGACAGGGAGTGGACTTCGAGAAAATCTGTAGCTGAAGCTCAGGAAGTGGTACCGGAAAAGAAAAAGAGGAAGATTACCTACAAAAATAAAAAAAAGGTCAGAAGACAGCTCATCATAAGACTTGTTGGTATTCAAGAAGTAAAAGGTACCTGAAAGAAAAAAGAAGGGCTATCTACAAAAAGAAATGAGGTGCCATCAAAAAAATAACTTGTAAAAAAACGAAATCCCGGAACTCAGTTCTACTTCTTCTACCGTCAAAACTTGTGAGATCCATGTTATATCAAGTCGGTTAATTTATTCAGTCCCTACTTAAGGAACCTTTTGTCTTGAGATATTACGAAATTAGCTCTTCTAACAACATCTTATACTGACCATATCAATATTGAAAATCGTGTATGTTTTAAATAAATAAATTCACTTGGCAATCGCACTCAACAATCTAATTTAATATAATATGTGTGATACATTGTGTTTTCATGCGATTGACTTCTTTTTTAAGTTATGTTTTTGATAACATACATATTGAATACGTTCTTATGGAGCTCGATAGCCCAGGTGGTTAGCACGTTCGGCTTGCGATCGTTGAGGTTAAGCAACTTTGGCAATGGTCGGTAATTTGATAGGTGACAAAAAACTTATTATCTCGAGCTCCTGTCGAAGCCTATGCTGTGCCCCTTCAGTGGGGATATTAATAGGCTAATGCTGATAATGTGTTGAGCATATTATTCGGAAAAAAAAATCAAGATGATCTCCTCTGTTCCACAATATAAGTCTAGTATTTCAGACCATTTGAAGATATTTA